AGAATAGAATAGAATAGAATAGAATAGAATAGAATAGAATAGAATAGAATAGAATAGAATAGAAAAATGGTGCTCATTGGGGCTCTCTAGTGTAGATAAATGAGGCTTGTTGCACTAAAATCAAGGCACTTTCCTGTATATCTGGGCATATGGCCTTGGGAACTTTCTCAAGAGGCTGGGATATTCTCAGCTTTCTTAAGAGGCTTGGGAACTTAGGTAAAGTTCTGTTTACAATGGGAGATAGATGCAATATGGATTCATAAAGACAATACAGAATTTGAAAAATAAGACAAAACAACAAAAAACCCCAAGAGAGTAGAAGAGGCTGGATTAAGGTTACAAAGTGAGGCGTCTAGATTGGAGAAATATTTTAAGACTGTGGTTTTCAACTGTTGTGCCATGACACTGTGGTGAATTGCAAATCCTTCATCAAGTGTGATGCCAAATTCTGGTTACAACAGGGGACATCTATTGTTACTATAATGTATGTTAAATGAAAGGCTAAACTGGGTAGGCTGTGTGACATAGCATAGAGCAGGTACAATGTGGTGCAAGTAAGAGATAGGAAGTAGAATATCAAAGCAGCCACAAACAAGTGCTGTTACTGGAGCCTCACTTTCGGGAATGCAGAAAAGAAGTCAGGCACTTAAATGGTGACATGACACTGAAGAGTGACCAGGTAAATAGTGCAGTGGTTGTGGCTGTTTTTACAGACATTTGTAAGACAGGGTTATGATGTAGTAGTGATCATACTATAATTATTTTTCCCAGATTCATTGAAATGTAATTGGTATATAACATTGTGTAAGTTTAAAGTCTACAATGTATTGATTTGATACTTATATACTGCAAAAATGATTACGAAAGCCTTAGCTAACACCTGCATCATGTCTCATAATTATCATTTCCTGTTTGTAGTGACAACATTTAAGATCTACTCTCTTAGTAACTTTCAACTATATGAGTATTATTAACTATAATTACCATACTGTACATAAGATCTCCAGAAGTTATTCATCTTATAGCTGGGAGTCTATAGTCTTTGACCATTTCCCCTTTACCCCCCACCCCAATCATACAGTAATTATTGCTTACATGCTTAAAGTTCTTTTGTACATTTGAATTAGTGTGGGGTCAGAATTCTAAATTTGAAAACGTGTCCAAATATAAAGCTAAAATCCTGTTAGATTACGTATTCGCTCCCAAATTAGACATGTATTTCCATTGCTCTCAAATACAATTCAACTAACATTTATTTGGCATCTAATATTGTGATGTGCTGTTTGTTGTGAAAAGGATGGCTATACTCTTAGGGAGATAGCAATTTAGAGACAAAACATACATAGTAAACATAAAGCATTTTATGCTGAGATAGAAGGACAAGGACAGTGCTGTGGGAGAACAAGGAAGGAGAATGTTAAGGATGTCAATAAGGAGAGAGGTTCTGGGACATCTCTCTGGAGGAAGAGGGACATGAGCAGGGCCTTCAGGGACTTTGGGTAGGCAAAAATGGGCAAAAAAAAAAAGCCAAGCAGAGGGTACAGAGGTTGTCTATATGATTAACAAATTGCATCTAGTTTATGTACTCAGAGATCCTCCCATTTTAGTAAAATAGCTTTCTTTTAAAAATTTGTTTTTTAAAACCAAAGACTGGTTTGTATGTTTTGTTCTTGAGGCTGCATCCCAAGAAAGAATCCTAATTATATGAGAGGAAGTAGCAATAGCCCTGCTCTTTACATAACGACCTTATGCAACCAAACATATAAAGCAGAGTCAAAGCCCCATTCTGTTGTTATTTTAACTTAATTAAGCAAGCCAAATTTTCCAATTAGGTACCCTTTTCAAGGTCTATATCTAGATTTATTCTTATCTCTTATCACCAATATAGCTTCATGTTCCAAGCACATAATTTCCTGAGACCTTTGTATACATTTGCTCCCCTGATCTGGCCCATGCTCTTTTAAATGGCTTCAAAAAAATTTTTTTTAATAGCAGCGGACTCTCAGAAGTCCAATAAATAAAGCTACTCGGATTGAAGATGGTCGGGAGTAGCTCACAGCCCCTACCTTTGAGGCCCCTCCCCCCCTGCATGGAGCATGAGACACCTCCATGGAATCCTCAGGGCTCTGCGGATGACAGTTTATGAACCACTTCCCTGGGCTTCTTAACTGCCAGTTATTGCTTAATTCTCCCACCAAAACCTTGCTCTGTCAAAAAGTCTGGACATGACTGTTGTATTCGTCTATCTAAAACATTAAGGATTTCTAGATATTCCTGTTCTTCTCTAGGGACCTGTTTGGACACTTATTAAACAATAATATACAAATAAATTATCCATTCTCTTCCTCCTATTAGTGATGACTGGAAATGACAATGAAAAAATATGTTAAGTTACAGAAGTTAGATCACTTAAACTAAGAATTATTTAGTGTTAATACTTAGATAATAGTAGCAGTTACACTCAAATTGCAGCAAGATGGATTCATGTAAAATAAGTGAAAGAATATGTAACTAAACATTTTAAATGAGGTGAGACAGCATGGGCTTTACTCCCTTAAAAATATTTAAGATATATAAATGTCCACCTACACAGGGAAGATGAGAGAAATCCTCAGAGAAAGAAATACATTTTGGAGGTTCCTTTTGGTACGAGTCTCTACTTGGTTTTTCATAAACCTTTATTCACAGGCTTACCTTTCGTAGTTTGGAAGAGAGTATTAATTCCCTTTTCCTATCTTATTTCTCCCATACTCAATACAAAACCTGGTAGTCTGTCATCTATAAGTCTAGTTTTTTTTGGCCATATGGGCAAAAATATCAGACAGGTTGTATAAATCATGGTGGTAGAAACATGTATTCAAGTAGTGACTATGTATTGTCTATGTATTCAAGTAGTGGCTTGATTACAATTATATTAAAACAAAACTTTCTGTTCAACCAGAACTGGGAATCATAACTAATAGAGTCTGTGACTGAGTTTAAAACACACATTTAAATGGCAGTTGATATTAAGAAGGGAAATTATGTCCCCACCAAGTTTTCCTTGATGGAGAGAGTTCTTTTTTCCTCTGGCACCAGTTCTCTCTACTATAAGGAACAGTTAACCTAAAAGGCCAAGAAGGGTGTGGCTCAGAGGCTGAGCATCCATCTAGGATCCAGGAGATCACGGTTCGATTCTGGGTCAGGGCACATGTCCGGGTTTGTGGGCTTGATTCCCAGTTGGGGGCGTGCAGGAGGTAGCCGATCAATGACTCTCTCATTATTGATGTTTCTCTCTCTCTCTCCCCCTTTCCCTTCCTCTCTCAGAAATTAATAAAGATATATTTTAAAACAAAACAAAGCAAAACAGTTAAATTTTAACACTTCCCTCTTTATCCCTACTCTAACTGCTGGCCTTGCTTCTCAAGGTGTGGCCTTCTGTAGACCAGTAACATCAGCATCACCTGGGAGCCCACTGAAATGCAGAATCTCAGGCTTTTTCTAATTAGAACAGAAAAATCACAGTTAACAGAATATGACCAATATTTTTTCTAACTATAGCTAACAACCATGGTCAACACAGCATGATTAATATTTCTGCCCCCGACAATTTCACCTCTCCCCTTTCCATTAATCCTAGGCAGGATCATCCCTGCTTTCCTGCAGTTAGAACTCCCTTTACTTACTGTATTTGTTTCCTAGGGTTGCCTTAACAAATTACCACAAACTTAGAGAATTAAAAAAAAAAAAAAAAAAAAAAAAACAAAAA